TTTTGAAACCTCGCGCCGTTACCCAGGATGAGGCTGCGGCTGACGTCACCACGCTTAACGCCAGCTCGAGGAAGTGGAGGGGGCGGGGTGGTGGGGTCGATGCGCATGTGTATAGGGTGGCTGGCTGGCAGCCAGAGGCGTTCGGGCCTCCTGCGCATGCGCTGGGAGAAGCGAACGGCGGGCCAATCAAGTGCCGAGGGTGGAACACCGCCCCCAGCCTGCTGCTGGAGTGTGGGTGGAGGGGCAGCACTGAGACAATGCGCGGGAAGGGAGGGCGGTGTGGCGTAATAGGGAATGGGCAAGTGAATGGGTGGCGGGGCGCGGAGCAGGCTCTTTCCTGCTGGAGCCGTGTGCGTCTCGAGTGGCATGTGCCAGGCTACGTGTTTGCAGTCACACAAAATAGCCAGAGCCCAGAGTGGGGAGTCCCAGGCTGGAGCTGGTTCCTTTCTTAGAGCTTCGCACAATGAAAGGTCGTTAGTCATGAATCGGGCATGTTCCAGCCCTGCTTCTCTTACTTTTCTTCAGCGTGACCCCATTTATGACCCCCTTTCCTCAGCAGGGCCCCTCACTCCCCACCCACAGGCCCCTGGCCTTGGTGCTGCCCCTCACTCCCAACCTGTAGCCCCCCCCTCCCCAGGTGCCCCAGGGTCCACAGCCCCCTGCCCTCCACCCCAGCACCACCTGAGCCTCAGTGCTGTGGAGCCTGGCGCCCCACTCCCCCACCCCTTAAACTAATCCCTGGGCAGCCCAGCCAGAGCAGAGCCTGTGGAGGGATGGAGAGGAAGAATGCAAGCTGCTAGCTGCAGGCTTGGCACTCCTTGCCCTGCCACCCTTCTGTTCTTCACCTGGGTGGCACAGCCAGAATGGAGCCCATGGGGTGGGGGGAGAGGACACAGGCTACCTGTTGTGGGCTTGGGGCTCCCTGCCCCACCACCCTTGTCCTTTCCTCTCCACCTTCTCCCCCAGGCAGCTCAGGCAGAACAGGGCTTGTGGGTTGCGGGGGGAAGGATGCGGGCTACCCACTGTGGGCTTGGGGCTCCCCACCCCGCCGCCCTTCCCTTGAGCCTCTGCAGCCAAACAGGCAGGGCCTGGGGTGGGAGAGAGCACCAAGCTGCAACCCCATCTGCTGATGTCGTGACCCCATTTGGGGTCGCACCCCACAGTTTGGGAACTGCTATGTTAGAATGTATTTTCCGTGTTTATTCATGACTATACATTTGATTAAATTCTCTCCCTATGGCATGTCTGATTCATGGCTAACAACTTGTAATTGTGTGAAGCTTTGAGAAAGAAACCGGGAATAAGGAACCAACTCAGCCTCATAAGGGTTGTGAAGTGTCAGCCAGGTTAGGGGCTCCAGCCCCACATTTGCAAGCACTAGGCTCCCAGGTGGCCCCCAGGCAGGGCAAGGAGACAGGGGCTGTACATGGAGCTTTATTTGAAGTGCAGCTGCAGCCATGCCATGCAGTGCGTGCTAGGAGCTGCTGGGAAATTCCCCACGTTCACGAAGTTCCTATTGTCATCCTCCCAATCCCCTCCCCTTCCCTACAGCTCTGGTTCCAGCCAGAGTGGGATTTGAAGGATACAGGTGTCTCAGGAAGGTGACCCAGAAGTCCTGCAGGCTGAGAGGGGAGCAGCTTCATGCTGGCCAGCAGTGGAGCATGCTTCAACCCCTTCCTTTTCCTGAGCTTTGGTGCCTGAGTCAGGGCTGCAGGCAAGCCCCACTGTCCATTCACAAGCCAGAAACTTATTTTTTCGAAGAATTGAGTCAGGTTCACCCTTTCTTGCCACAGCATGGTTGGAAGAGAGAAAGCAGCCACCTCTTACCTTTGGTATGATAGCCTGGTGGGTAGAGCTCTTTCCTAAAATGTGGGAGATGTGGGTTCTCTTCCCACATCTCTCACATACCCGTTACAACAAACAGGTGTGTTTATTGTAACAGGTGCATGGGCTTATTAAGGTGTTTTGGAAAAGAAAAGGTGCAATGGAAGTCTATGACAGAGGATGTGTATAAATATAGACAGATAGATAGATTTTAATTTTTAAAAGTGTGGGTTCCCTTCCCTTCAGCTAGAAGGGCTCAAACCATTTCCCACCTCCCAGTCATTTGGGAGATGGGAAAGTCCTGAAGACATTGTCCTGTAAAGTCTGGGTTCAAACAGGAGGGAATCAAATTCAGCTCTCTAGACTCATGCGGAAAACAGCAGCTGTGCTACTATTGCTGAAGCAATCTGCCATAACTGAATCTGGGGAGTAGCCCGATGCAGTCAGTGTGTATAAAGTGTGTTCTGAGAACACCTCAAATCCCTCTGGGTAGGTCCCCGCTGCACAGCCTGCCCATGTGCTCCTGCCACACTTGCAGCAAGCTTGGAAATGAGGCAGGGAAGCTGCATGGAGAATGCCCCAGCACCAGAAATCTCCAGGGGGTGCTTCAAGAGGGACTTTGGTGGCTCATTTCAGAATTTGATGGATGTAGAGTGAGTGGCACACTCAAACCCAGCAGGAAACTACTATGGGTATAATTCTCAGGGATCATAGGCCTAGTTTCTTGGTCCTGATAAGGTTTGGCAGTTAAGCCAGGGTACAGCTATTGAATATAATCCCCTCCAGAATTAATCAGTAGTTAAGCAGATGTTTTTAGAATCTCAGATTGTTTATGCACGTGCTCGGGGAGGGGGGGGCACGGACTTTAATTAAAGCCCCTGAAGCATCACATGTATCAGTGTCCCCATGCTGAAAAATCGCAGCAGGGGCACTTTAACTAAAGTATTCCCGCTGCCATTTTTCAGCGTGCGCAAGGATGCTGATACATGTGACACTGGAATCTGCTGGAACGTGGTAATTACCACGCTTCAGCAGACTTGATTAATCATGTCTGCTCCAACGCGCTGTAATTACACTGCCTTGGAAAAGCCTTGCCGTACACATATAGGCACCCTCAGATTTACCAAATTAGACCATGCATCTGCCTAAACCCTGTTTTAGGCATCTGAGTCTTTAACTGGATACACTCCAACATATCAAGCAATCTCCTCACTGAGGGTCAGGATGAGAGAAAAAATGAACCATACACAAGAGTTATTATATATATATTTGATATGTTGTTTGGCACACAGCTACAATGGTGATTAGGACAGTACCATACTGTCCTACACAGAACACCACAGTATAACGTAAGTTTCTGCAATACTCTAACAATTCATAAACAGAACAAGACACATTCCTTGTATCTCCTCATTATATTCCATAAACCCAGCAAATAAAACATAATTTCTTTGATTATGGACAGAAATTAGGATATTACTTTAACATAACATGCAGTATAAGGGAATGGTATGCCAAGAATATTTTTACATTTTTGTATCTAGGAACATGACATTTCTGTTGTGATGATTGGTAGGATGATTTGAGACAATCAGATTGTGTTACTAGAATAAAATATGACTGTGAATTTAGTAACAGGTTTTAAAGATAAATTAGTATAAAAAACTCAGTATTGAGGAATAGTTTTGTCTCTGCAAAGATAAATTTCCTCAGTGAAAGGTACCTATATGCCCTGAGTAGTGTTTGCCGTTTACTGGACCAGAAGGGGGCGCTCGTGGCCCAGGAGGGACATGAGGCCCCATTGCTGCTCACTCAGCCAGAAAAAGTAGGAAGAGCTTTTGGTGAAAGACTGGGAGCTACATCTGCTCTCCTTCTGTAGCCTCAGGTTCCAAGGAAAGATCATACCCTAGCAGAACATGGGGTCCTTCTGATAAGACAGCAAAGAGATAATAGAAAATGTGTGGCGTATCTGATCTTCCTCTTTTATTACACCAAAGAGTTAACTACTAATCCACCATCTGTCATATGTGTTTTAATTGGACTTTGAACTTAAGTTTTAGTATTCTTGGCAGGTTTTGTCTCACAGCATAGATGATAGAGAAAGTCATTCAGCCATGTATCATGAATGTTTATTCCCCCTTCCCCCTCCCCCCACATTTATCTATATAGTTTCTCTGCATAGCCTGTGCTCTTCTAGTAGTTCATTTAATTTTCTGTGTATGTCAAAGTAGCAATTAAGTCTACCACAGCTCACTAATCCATTTCCTGTCTCACTGATGCTGCAAACAGCTATGTTCTTGTAACAAATTTCTTTTTCATGCAGTCTGCTTTCATCAGATGCTATGAATCATTGATTAGTTTCTCTTTCCAGAGTTAAAACAGTATTGAAATACATGATGCATGATTTTAAAGATCTATTATCTTGTCAGTTTGTTTATATTCCCATGGACTATGCCATTCCTAGCTACTATATTAAAGGCTGAGAGAGAGAGAGAGAGAGAGAGAGAGAGTGTGTGTGTGGCTGGGTGGGTGGCTAGAAGGCATGCAAGCAACCTTGGGAGTTATAAGTAGGATTTAATTTGTGGCTAGGTCTTATGTTGACTCTTTGGCCAGATGTGAATTTTACCTCAGATGTGAGAGAGGCATTTGCTTTTCATATCCTGTTTTAAACTGCTGGTGCCTTTGGTCCTTTTTTTTTTCTCACTTAGTATGTGTATTACAAATTTTGTTGCTGTAACTGAAGTCTACTTTAGCACTTCCACCAATGATATCACTAGAGAAGCTGCACCAGTTGGGAGTTACCACCTTGCAGCTTTGCTAATAGTACAGGAAAGCACATAAGATTTGAAAACTTACTGGGGCTTAAATATGGATAAAAAATATTCAACTCATGTGTATGGCAGAAAGTCCAGAGAACACACTTCTACAGCATAAATGTCTGTTACAAGTTTCGTCAGCACATCTTTCTTTAC